AGCTCTTATCGAACGTTTCAGAAACCCATTTTTCCGACTTATAGAGCCGTTTAGGCTATTGGAACTATAAAGGTCGTTTCAGAAACCGGCCATTAATGAGGCGTGCAGTTTGAATGTCGATCTTCTCTGTAGATAGCTTTTGCACGACACATGCACTTGTTAAAAAAATACTTTATGACTCATCACCAAGAACCCGGACCGAAACGAAATAACTGTTCCGTTCCGGTTTCGTTCCAAAGCAAAATTTAAAATTTCGGTTCCGTTCCGGTTCCGGTTTAGAAAATAATTTCCAATTCGGTTCCGTTCTGGTTCCAAAATCTATACATAACAACGAACGAGGACAAAGATACTCTAATTAGGAATCCCACTATCTTTTTCCTTGCTTGTTGCATTATGCAAGGTAAAAGATGCGCAAACTATCCATTGCTTCATACAGTACTTCGGCTGGTTGTATGGTAGGGAGTAGGAGTGTAGGAGGATTAGCAACCCCACACAAGGATTGAAATTCAGGTAACATTAAATGGAACAACATTGCAATAAAAACTCCCATACAAAAAATAATTTAATCGGTGTATTTTTGAAAAGTAATTTGTCAATAAATTTTCTGACTTTAGCGCTTTTCTCTTCTTTCCGTTTTCACTCAGGTCCACAACTTCGTCATTTCCTCTTCTTTCACTCTTATTTCCGTTTAAACATTGTTCTTCCTGGTTCATTTCTTCAGCATCTTTTGAGGAGTTTCAAATGTTTCTTTGTTGGTGATCGAAAAACTAAAATAATTCAATTTAAAAAATAGTGTATAAACGGTGTTTGTTCTATTCGATTGAAAAGTCGGTTGGTCCTCACAAATAATTGTTCCTCTAACATTTTTTTTCATTATTTGACCTCGAAGGCGGCAACAAAAATTTGAGTCCTGAGAATAACCTCGCAATAATACTACAGAATAACACTATCTTAAGTTGCCGGTATGCTTAATAATACTTGAGCAAGCATGTATAACTCGGGATTAAGCTCTTTTTTTTGTCCAGAAATCAAAAATCGTTTAATTTTTCCGTAAGCGTATGCGGCTTTGTTCCACTTTATAGAAATTTAAAATATTTCCAATTTTGTTAAGGACTACAAATGAGCCTTACGAAGAAAATCGTGCTGATTAATGAATTTTAAAAATTTTTGCTTTGAATCTTTATGTCTCAAAAATACTTCCATTTCATCGCTTGATGAATTAGATGATTCAGTTTCCATATCGTGTTGGTCAAAGTCATATTTA